TTTTTATATATTTTTATTTTTCATATATACATATATGTAATATATATAAATATATGAAAAATTGATGTGGATACTCAAATGAAAGGTCTTGATGAGTATAACAACATCGGGATGAGCTTATATCTTTAAAAATGTCAATAGTTTACAAGAAACAAGGTCATTTCTTATCATCATAAATCGACTATTGATGAGAATGATATGAAACCTTGAAAAGGCACAAATTCAAATCAAGACCTTTGCAATGACACTTAATTTCACTAAAAAAATCGATTTTATCATATGACTATCCTGGACACAGAATTTTTCTTTTTCTTTTAGTAATATGTATTATTTAGATAAAAATAAATTTAAAAAAAATGTAAAATGTGAATTTTTTTACAGAACAATAATAATAAAATTTTTTTCAACTTCTTTTGTCATCAAACTTATTTTTATTTAAGAAATTTTTCGGTTCATTTTCGATTCTATATTGTTAATAAATTTAAAACATTAAAATACCTTATTATTATTACTTTTGAAAAAAAATTTTTATTTAAAAATCAATTTGATAGAAAATAATAATTTGACATTTACCAAAATTTTGATTATGCAATAAAATATTGTTAAAAATAAAAATCCAATATTATAAATCAACTCAATGAATGAACATAAATACCTCAAATAAATTATAATCATTATTATTATTATATTTATTTGTATTGTTATTATAATTAAGACCGGTAGCTCTCGAGCGTTAAATCTCGGATTATAATCAAAAGCCGCTTTTGTGTCCAGTAAATAATTTATTTAAGATATTTCTTATCTGTACTATTATATTCACTCCTCAGGAATTTAAACGGTAGTTCAGTCATACTCGATAATTAATTTCTATTTTATTGCCGTTTATAAATTTCTATCCACAACCATCAAATCGTTGCTTCCGGTACATTTTATAGTATACTAGACACTTGTATCTTTTCAATTTAATTCTCCTTCTAATATATAATACAAATCACTGTTACTTTATTCATTTTAAATTATTCTCAGTATTATATTTAATATTACAATTCTTGACTTTTATTTTTCAATAAATTAATTTGAATTTTATTTTAAAACTTTAGTATTCTATCATTTAGAATTTTATCTTCTGAAAAAATATAAAAATAATTGATAATTTAATTTATAATAGTTTTTTTTTAAATAGATAAAAAACTCTTCTAGTTAAAATAAAATTTTTAATTCCTTTAAAATTATAATAAGAAAATTGTACTAGATATTAAATATAAATATGTAAAAATAACTTTCAATTTTTAAAAATTACCTAAGACCGATTTAAAAATTTCCTTGTCCTCAAATCAAATAAAAAAAAGTTTACACAACAAATTAACATCAAAATAAAAATGACTCAAGGCATTACATTATAAAATTTCGTCATCATTTGGTATTTTGTTATTTATTAACGATCTTTAGTTAATATCTTCATCATCATTATTAATATTATTATTATCATTATAAATTTTTTATTAACTGAGTTTATTGACTTGGCTTCCACATTTGGGCCCACGTGGGCGGGACATGTGGGCGATTGGCATCCGCACGCGATCGCTCTTAATCCACCTAAAAAAATTGACAAAAGTAAATAAACAAACAATTAAATCAATCAATAATTGTCTACTTTAATGTGATTACCAGCAGGTTAAAAAAGAAAAAAAAGAAATAAAATTTAAGTATCTGAAAAGAGTCCTGATAATTACTCATATGATGTGAAGATCAAGGAAGTATAAGTAAAAGGATATTTAATATTTATAAATATAAATAATATACCATAATATAGCATCCAGCAATTGGCGAGTTGATTCTCAGCCTGGAGGCATGCGTGCACCGGTTGCGTCTTCTTGGCCATTCAAAAAGCTAAATTGGATTCATTTAAGAGTAGTCCACCCAATTTTCGTTCCTCAATGATGGAGCATCGATATCTGATCTTGAGATCGATCATCGCCGATGATCGATTGTTTAGCTTCCGGGAAATAATTTTTTACTTTACTTTTTTTTGCTCTCATACCTTCTATTTCATCATTATCGTTACAATCATTATTTATCAGTCTCCCCATTGGGCATCATTATCTTGAGGAATTTTTTTTTTCTTTTTTTATAATTAAAAATTTTAAATAAATTTTAATCAACTTATAATATTACAGACAAACACTTTTTAATTTATTTCAAATATTTCAATAATAATAATAATAATAATTTTAAAGAATAATAATAATAATCTTAAAGTATGTAACTGAAACAAAGTATCTAGGTATTGTAATTGATGACAACTTAAATTATAAAAAAAATGCGGATTGTTACATTAGTAACAAAATTCTTAAAAAAATTAATTTTATAAGTAGACTTAATAATAATGTAACCAGTTATGTAAAATGTCAACTCTACAGAACTATAGTATTCCCACATTTTGAGTACTGTAATACAATAATGCTTAAGTATGATGAGTATATATTAAATAAACTACAAAAATTACAAAATCGTGGAATGCGTGTTATATTGAGCGTAAATAGATACACAAAATTAGAATCTATGTTAGATACTCTAGGATGGTTATCAGTTAGGCAAAAAATAGTTTTCAATTCATGTCTATTTATACACAAAATAATTAACAATCTATTACCAACATATCTAATTGAAGAATTTGAATTCAATAAACCGCACTACGCAACAAGACAGACATCTACTCTTAGAATAGAAAAAACCCGAACTTTGAGTGCGGAAAAAACAATTGTTTATAGAGGAGCAAACTGGTATAACAAACTTCCACATGAAATTATAAACGAAGATCGAATACATATATTTAAAATATATCTTAAAAAATATATAATCGAGAATATTGGGCCCTTCGATAAGTTAAATTGTATTTAATATTGAATTATATTTAATATTTAATAAGCAAAATTATAAAAAACGTGTAACTTGTAAATTGTAACTTGTAAATAGCTCAAGAGCTAATAATAAACTATATATTATTATTATTATTATGGAAATTATTTGTTGATAAATAATAATTATTTTTATTATTATAAACAAAAAAAAATTTTTATTTAAATTATTAATTAATTTTTTTATAATTTCAGGGCTTGGATAGCAGTGGAAGACCAGCATTTGTCCTCTACTTTCGTGTTAGATATTACATTGATACTCCATTATTATTAAGGTAAAAATATTTATATCTATTATTAAAAAATAAACATACCATTAATTGTCTTCAATATAACTTCTCAGTATTAATCCATTTTCTTTATTTATGTTTGATATTCTAAACAATGATCGCTATCAAATAATGCCCGGTAATAGTACCTCTTACTTCCTGAAATATAAATACGATTATTATTCGCTTACCTAGTTTATTTATTATTTCCTAATTATAAAACAATGCTACAGTACACCATAACTTACTTTTATTCTATTCTTCTCTATTAATAATTTTATTAAATTAATAAACATCACCATTGAATCATTTTATGTCCATAATAAATATTTATTTATTGTTAATTAATACTTTATTAATAGATAATACCTTTATTAATTTGAAAACAATTTGTTGATTTATTAAATGTATTTAAGTATTTTTTAACCATTAAATATATATTTATTGTCTTTTAAGAAATGTTCTTTTCTTGTAAAATAATACTAAGCTATATTTAATAAATAAATTTATTAGTTAGTTAATAAATTTTTTATTAAAAAAAAAAAAAAAATAATAAAATTATATAAAATAAAATAATTAAAATCAAAAAACAAAGAATTAATATAAAAAAAAAAAATTTTTCAGCGATGAAACAACGCGGCACCATTATTACCTGCAACTGCGCGACAATGTCGTCCGTCATGGAGGCGGAGTGGAGAGCCTCCACCCTCACCACCCCCTTCACACTCCAGAGATCGTCAGCCCTCTGCTGGTACTGGCGGGGTTGGCGCTGCAAGCGGACATGGGGGACTACAGCGAGGAGCGACACCGTCCCCACGCGGGGACAGTCGGTTATTGCAAGCCGACGGACTACCTCCCGCCCCACATGTGTCTGGAGGCGAACGTCCTCGGGGTCCTGGCCTCCCAGCACCGGGACAACCGCGGGCTCTCCCGCGAGGAAGCCGAGCTCCAGTACATACGCGAGGCTGTCCTCCTGGAGGCTCCGCTCAACGCCCACCTGTACCGGCTGCGACGAACCAAGGGCGAGGTCGGCCCCGGGAGGATCCTCCTGGCGATCTGCGCTCGCGGAGTCACCATTTACACCGAGCAGGAGACGCCCAGGATCTTCGCCTGGAACAACATCGGCAAGCTCTGCTTCGACCGGAAGAAGTTCGAGATCCGGGCGGTGGATCACCCCGACAAACTCACCCTCTACAGCGGCTGCGACGACAAGAGCAAGCTTCTCTTGGGGCTCTGTCGCGACACCCACCAGTTCTCGATGGCCATAGCGCCTCGCGTCACCGAGGCTCTCAGGAGGGAGGAAGAGGAGCGGAAAGTCCTCAGAGACTGCTACATGTATCCTGCCAGGTGCAAGCTCAGCATGACGGCTCGTGGCTCCAGGAGAGACCAGAGGATCTCCGTCATTTCCAGCACTTCGTCTAACACCACCTCGGGGATTGTCAGCGATCGCGTTCACAGCGAAGATGAACCTGACACTGCGCCTGCCTCCACTGAGTGTCTCGCCAGGTTGACCGAAAATTCAAGTCCTATTGTCAAGAAGAAAGGTGAGTTTTTTTTTATTTTGATAGGTGGTAATTTTTTAGATTTCCATTCATACAAAAATTTTATACTGAGTAAAAAAAACATTTCAGATAGTAGTTAGTATAATCCAGATTACAATGAGTGAAATTCAGATATCAAGTAGTATAATCTGGATTTTTTTAACTACTATCTGAAATTTTTTTTTCACCACAGATATCATTGAGTATATTCTGGGATGATATCCAGTGTTATCTTGTTCTTTCCGTGTAGCGAAAAAAAATTGGACTTGGTCTTATCGTCTTCAAATAATATGAAATATTCTTTAATCAATTTAAATTTATTGGTTCATACAAAGAATAATTTGTTAGTTTGTTTTGTTGGAGTTTTTTATTTTTTTGGACTGAGCAGAATAATACACTTAAATATTGAAAATATTCATTAGTGTACACCGGGGTCGAACCCGGTCCAATGTTTTGGTAACCAAGGGCCGGATTCGATAGGCTACAAGGCGCCTTAGTTGATTTTGATGATTTTGAATCAAGTGAAATTTCTTTAATTAAAGAAATTTTTTTGCTTGTTTCATAATTATGAAATTCTCTAAAATATTTTATTTAAACCATAAATAATTTATTAGTTAGTGTATAATTTAAGATTATTAAACTTTTTGGACTGATGATTTTAATTCGATTTTTTTTTTCTATAATTAACAAAATTTTTTCAAAAAAAAAAAAAAACATTTTTGTAAACTTAATAAATGATCAAAAAATTCACTATGAAAAATAATACCTCAAATTTCAATTTTGTACATTACAAAAACAGTAACGCCGAATCTAACCAATTTTTTTGCATTAAAAACCATGGAAAGGATTAAAAGAGAACCCAAATAGGCTATCTTAAAATAATATTTCTGGTATCAATAGTAACTATGTTGAACTATTCCTTTCTTTTTTTTTTTAATTTGTTTAGGTGGATTCCGAGTTCTATTATGTAGATATTGGTTCTTTGTATCACTTTACGCTATTACATATAACTATAATATATAATTGCCAAGTAAATAAATAAAATCATCAAAATTTATCCACCAGCCCTAACAAAAAATTTTATTTTCCAGTTTCTTTGACCAGCGAGGAGCCATCTCGTTCTTCTTCCCCAGTAGCACCAGCGGGCGACGAGGTAGACGGCACAGAAACCTTCACAGCAACCACAACCCGCCGCTCAGCAACAAACCCTTGCACCGAAGGTTCTCAATGCAGCAGCAGCTGCAGCACAGTAGTAATAAACCCCCTAACCAACAACCCAGTATCCTCCCGACCCCGCCGCCCCTCCGGGAGCTCAAGCCTCGAACTCGGTTACTCCCACACCGCCCAAAACTCAGCAGTGTCTTCAGAATCAACCAGCTTCCCAGGAGTAATCTACCGAGAAGACCGGTGCAAAAAATCAAATAAATCCTTCGCAGACACCACCAGTGCGTCAACTTTACCCGACGAAGGTTTCACAGGAACAGACATCGCGAGCGAGACCAGCGGGGTCTACACCATGCGAAGTTCCGGGATCCAGGACGAGAGAATCACCGAATTATACTCGCCCTCCGGCGACGCGAACGAGTCGATCTCAAATAGCGACGTCTGCGCCCTCAGTTCAGTCCAATCAACCACCGACGAAGCCTCCGTGACCTCCGGGTTCTACACAATTCACAGCGAGCTCAGGTCCGAGAACAGCGACGTCTACACCGAGGACGCGAACCAGGACCAGGAGCCTATCTACAGCATCTGTAAGGGTGATGACGAGGAACTTTCCGGGCCTCCCGAGCAGCACCTAGACCTTGAAGATCTTCGATCTCGCAGCAATAGCATCCTCAGCACAGGCAGCTTCCGCGGCGACGGGAGTGACCCTCCAGGAATCGGACCCTTGCTGTCCGCTGATGAGCTCTCTGACCTCATAGTCGGGAGGTATCCTCCCAGGAAGACTATTAGCACTTCAATGGACTCCGACTGCGATTATGTGACCATGCCTCCTCCTCCAGCTCCTCCTCCAAGGATAGACAGTGAGCAGCCGACTCCTCCGCCTTATCCGTCAAATCTAGACTTCAGAGACTTGTCCAAGTCTCTGAATTCCTCCCGGGTGATTCCTTCCGGAGAAAGAGAGCCTCCTCCTCCGCCGCCGTACAACGCTCCAAGGGTTGACTTTGTTCCTCTGCCTCCAAGAAGAACCGAGCCTCCTCCGCCGCCTCCTTACACTTCTCCTCGCGAGAGGATCCAGATTCCTCCTCCAACTCCTCCCAGAAACGACGCAGTCACTCCCAGAGAACCTCCGCCTCCTCCGCCTTACCCTCAGATCACAGAGGCCATTTCCAAACTCTACCCCAATAATCTGGTTGAGGAACCTCCCAGAATTCCTGGGGGTAAAAATAACCTCTCTGGAATGAGCAACCTTAGCATGAATTTAATGAAGAATATGAACATTAATTCTCTGCCCTTACCTGCAAAGTCTTCTGGAAAAAATAAAGCCTCCGAGGCACCTCCAGCCCTGGCTCCTAAGGCTCCTAAGCCACCTCCAAGAATCCAGCCTCCGACTTACCCGGGAGATAAAATGAAGCCTACTCCAGTTCATGCTCCGGTGGCGGCGCTGGTGGTTGGTCCGAATAATTATCTGGATGTTCATGCTTCAAGAAGCGGACCGGTTTTGCTGCCGTACTTGGGCTCGCCGACGCCCCAGCCACCGCCACCTCCTCCGCCGCCGATGGTTCATATGAGGCAACCTCCTCCGCCGCCGCCCAGCTTGGCCACTGTCTACACCAGCCAGGTCGCCAGGTCTCAAATTGAGCAGTACAGGCAGCAGCTTTACTCCGATGTTGACTATGTCATGTTCCCGCTTAAGGATCCGGCGATTTCTAAGCAGGAGTATATTGATGTTAAACAAGGCTCGCTGTTATCGGGCCTGGCTGCATATCCTCCGCCGCCGTACCCCAGTTTTGGGGGGAATAAGTCCTCGGTGGTGTACCGGAGCACGCCCTATTTGCCAGGGTCGTCGTTTTCTTCGAGTACTAAGTATGCGAGCAACTTGAATTTGAGCGATACTAGCTCTAATTATCCGGTTCATGGGAATCTTAGTAGTCATTATGCTGCTAGTACTAGCTCGTTGTACAGTGGCGCTACTTGTTCTTCTTCGGTTGGGAGTCACAGTTTGAGGAGGGAACCCTCTGGTCCGGCTAATACTTATAATCATAATACTTTCTCGAGGACTAGGAGCGATGAAAATATTCTTAAGTGCTTTGAAGCTCCGGCTAAGGGCAAGCTGCAGTCTTTGCCGCAGACTAAGCATCGACGACTACCGCCGCCGCCTCCACCGCCTCCTTATGAGATTCAGGTAAGTTTTTTTTTAGTTGGAGAAGTGGGTGTAGTTAGATTTTTTGAAAATTGAGTTTTGTAGTTTATTTTATGAATATTTCATTAAAATTTTATTAGTTTAAAAAAAAATTTTTTTAATAATTTTTAAAGAAAAATTATTATTATAAAAAAGGAATAATCTTTGCATGGATATCAATAAAATTTTAACAGATTTTGAAAGTATAAAAAGCTAATAAAGTAATTAAAAAATTGATTTTCTTTTAAATAAAATAAATTTAACTAGCAACCTTGCAGTCACTATGTAACTGACGTGACTGGTGAATTATAAATAAATGAAATTTTGCTTCATTAAATGATACTTTTGTTAAATTGCATTTTACTTTTTTAACTATTGACATTTTTAAAAATATAAGCTCATCCCGATGATACACTCATCGAGAGCTTTCATTTGACTACCCACATGCATTTTTGATATATTTTTCATATATAAATATATCAAAAATTGATGTGGGTACTCAAATGAAAGGTCTCAATGAATGTAATGTCGGGATGAACTTATATCTTTAAAAATGTCAACAGTTTACAAGATATTCGTTAAAATGCCCTGTATTTTTTTAACTATTGACATTTTTAAAGATATAAGCTCATCCCGACATTACACTTATCAAGACCTTTCATTTGAGTACTCACATCAATTTTTCATATATTTTATATATTTATATATTATATATGTATGGATATATGAAAAATATATAAAAAAATGCATGTGGGTACTCAAATGAAAGGTCTCAATGAGTGTAACATCAGGATGAGCTTATATCTTTAGAAATATCAATCGTTGACAAGATACAATGTCATTACTTAACTATTGACGTTTTTAAAAATATAAGCTCATCCCGATGTTACACTCATGAAGAGCTTTCATTAGAATACCCACATGCATTTTGATATATTTTTCATATATACATATATGTCATACAACAATTGATTAGATTAGTAACTTGGAAAAAATTTAGAGTTTTCATTTTCACATGTCCACGTGGCTATTGCTATCAAGACTTAATAACTAGACTAGGGTTTAAAATTTTCGATAAGTTCATTTTTAATCATTATTATGCATCAATCGAATCGTTTTCACATTCTCTACAAGGATTCTAGGCCAAACAGTTGATAAGATTAGTAACTTGGAAAAAATTTAGAGTTTTCATTTTTACATGTCCGCGTGGCTATTGCTATCAAGACTTATCAAGACTTAACTAGACTAGGGTTTAAAATTAGGGGTGTGCGAATAATTCGAACTTACAAATTATTCGTTCCGAATCGAATAATTTGAATTTTCGAATTATTCGAAATTTGACGAACAATTCGAAAAAATTCGATTAATTCGAAAAAATTCGAATTATTCGAAAAATTACGAATAATTCGAAAAGTTTCGAATTATTCGAATTCTTTTGAATTATTCGTCGAATGTTGATTAATTCGAAAATTCAAATTATTCGGTTCGAATATCAATATTCGATTCGATTCGATTCGATTCGAACGATATTCGCACACCCCTAATATAAATATATGAAAAATTGATGAATATCAATAGTTCACGAGATACAAGGTCATTTCTTAATTATCTATCTAGAGTATTTTTGAATTAAGTACTTATCATCATAAATTATTCCATCTTTCAAAAAATATAAAATTTCTCAATTAAATTTTTTTCACAATAAATTACTATAAAAATTAAAAAAATTTCAAAATTTTGAAATCAAACTGCACCTAAGTGATCAATAAAAATCAAGCTCTAAAAAATGAATTAGACAAAAAATTAACATGAAAATAATTAATAATTTCAGAACCTGGAGAAAAACCAACCCCTGCCTTCAGCATCATCAGCAACTTGTTCTTCAACAACAAACACGACAAGCATAGCTGAGAACGAAGGTAGCAAAGAAGACGGAATGCTCGACATACGAACTCTTCGCGAGAAGAGTAGGAACCTGGATTTGCCCTTAATATCCGCGCTCTGCAACGACCGGTACTTACTCAAGCAAACCAAGGCATTCGTACTGCCGAAGCATCCCGCAGAGAGTTCGTCATCTCCAGCGGCAGCGTCGTCAAATTCTGTCACGACAACTACAGCTTCTTCCAGCAAGAACTTAATAGGTCTGTCACGGGACACCACCACCAGTTCCATTTCCAGCAGGAACAAGTACCCGGTCAGTGGACTGTCCACTACCCAGATTGTCAAGCCCCCGAGGAAACTGTCAGCCAGTACTCACAGACATCCCTCTGAAATAAAAGGAAATTCCTACATGATTAATTCACCACTTACTAAAGTTTCCTCTTCCCCGGGGAAAAAAGACCCCACGAGAGCATCACACTCGTGATTTTCATTTTATATTCAGATAAAATATTATTTAAAATACAAATTACATAATAATAATAATAATAATAAAAAGAAAACAGACCGTGCTTCTTCAACTCAGGGTGCCATTTATAACAGAAAGAAAATTTTATATTAAAATATTAAAATAAAACATTCCCAGTCAGCGTCGTTTCATTTTTTAATTATAATTATTATTATTAATAATAATATATATAATTTTTATAAAAACGTCTTCCGCGTTGTACTTTATTAGTTTTATTTTATTTCATTTTATACATTGCGCTCGTCGTTAAATTTATTATTAATTAAATTTTAAGTTTTTTTTTTTTTATTATTATTATCGATTATTATTTTTTAATTTTATTATTATTAATAATTAATATTTTAATTAATAACACTCCTTGTAATTAAAGTAACTGGTATGCAGTATGACCGCGGTAAAACGTATGATTGTTAATTAATTAAAGAAAAAATAATACACGGCGCTGTTATTTGCTCAAATATTGTCACAAAATTAATACCATTATATTTTATTATAAATTTTTTCTTTAATTATAATTGAAGATTATTAAAACTATGAAAACAATGTAGTATTATTTGAATGATTAATAATGTACGCATAATATATGTTAAATGGTCGTCAATACTTACATTTGTAGCGTGCAAACAATAAATATTATTTTTTTTTTTTTTTTTTTTTTTTTTTCAACGACCGGTACTTACTCAAGCAAACCAAGGCATTCGTACTGCCGAAGCATCCCGCAGAGAGTTCGTCATCTCCAGCGGCAGCGTCGTCAAATTCTGTCACGACAACTACAGCTTCTTCCAGCAAGAACTTAATAGGTCTGTCACGGGACACCACCACCAGTTCCATTTCCAGCAGGAACAAGTACCCGGTCAGTGGACTGTCCACTACCCAGATTGTCAAGCCCCCGAGGAAACTGTCAGCCAGTACTCACAGACATCCCTCTGAAATAAAAGGAAATTCCTACATGATTAATTCACCACTTACTAAAGTTTCCTCTTCCCCGGGGAAAAAAGACCCCACGAGAGCATCACACTCGTGATTTTCATTTTATATTCAGATAAAATATTATTTAAAATACAAATTACATAATAATAATAATAATAATAAAAAGAAAACAGACCGTGCTTCTTCAACTCAGGGTGCCATTTATAACAGAAAGAAAATTTTATATTAAAATATTAAAATAAAACATTCCCAGTCAGCGTCGTTTCATTTTTTAATTATAATTATTATTATTAATAATAATATATATAATTTTTATAAAAACGTCTTCCGCGTTGTACTTTATTAGTTTTATTTTATTTCATTTTATACATTGCGCTCGTCGTTAAATTTATTATTAATTAAATTTTAAGTTTTTTTTTTTTTATTATTATTATCGATTATTATTTTTTAATTTTATTATTATTAATAATTAATATTTTAATTAATAACACTCCTTGTAATTAAAGTAACTGGTATGCAGTATGACCGCGGTAAAACGTATGATTGTTAATTAATTAAAGAAAAAATAATACACGGCGCTGTTATTTGCTCAAATATTGTCACAAAATTAATACCATTATATTTTATTATAAATTTTTTCTTTAATTATAATTGAAGATTATTAAAACTATGAAAACAATGTAGTATTATTTGAATGATTAATAATGTACGCATAATATATGTTAAATGGTCGTCAATACTTACATTTGTAGCGTGCAAACAATAAATATTATTTTTTTTTTTTTTTTTTTTTTTTTTGAGTTACTAAGTTATCATACACGTATTTTTATACTCGAGATTTTAAGTGTAATTGTAATTATTAAAAGCAGATGTTAATGCAATAAAAAATAGTATAACATTATATTAATAAACTACTGGATTTTTTTTAATTGTTCTGTAAAGTAATCTTTAATAAAATCACCTAAAATAATGATACTGAATTGATATGAAAAAATGTTTGATAATTTATGACACTGAAGTCTGACAGACATTAGAAATTTTTTTGAGAAAATTAAAAAAAAACTAGCAACCTTGCAGTCACTATATGTGACTGCCATGACTTGTGAACTATAAATAAATAAAATTTTGCTTTATTGAATAATGACTTTTGTTAAATTGCACTGTACTTTTTTAAATATTAACGTTTTTAAAGATATAAGCTCATCCCGATGTTACACTCATCAAGAGCTTTCATTTGAGTACCCACATACATTTTTATATATTTTTCATATATACATATATATAATATATATAAATATATAAAAAATTGATGTGGGTACTCAAATGAAAGGTTTCGATGAGTATAACATCAAGATGAGCTTAGATCTTTAAAAATGTCAATAGATCTCATGATACAAGGTCATTTCTTAATTATTGACATTTTTGAAGATATAAGCTCATCCCGATGTTACACTCATCAAGAGCTTTCATTTGAGTACCCACATGCATTTTTGATATATTTTTCATATATACATATATATAAAATATATAAATATATGAAAATGCATGTGGGTACTCAAATGAAAGGTCTCGTTGAGTATAACATCAGGATGAGCTTAGATCTTTAAAAATGTCAATATTTTACAAGATAGAAGGTAATTTCTTAATTATTGATATTTTTAAAGATATAAGCTCATCCCGATGTTACATTCATCAAGAGCTTTCATTTGAGTACCCACATGCATTTTCATAT